ATGTAATTTGGATATGTCTGCCTTCATATGTTACTTGGCCTTTTTCTTTTGTTCCTCTTAATATTTTCTCTTTATTCTGAAGGTTTGGTGTTTTGATTATTATTTGGTGAGGGGACTTCTTTTTTTGTGGTCCAATCTATTTGGTGTTCTGTAAGCTTCTTTTAATTTCATAGGCATATCCTTCTTTAGGTTGGGGAAATTTTCTTCAACTATTTTGTTGAATATGTTTTCTGTACCTTTGAACTGTATTTCTTCACCTTCTTCTATACCTATTATTCTTAGGTTTGGTCTTTTCATGGTGTCCCATATTTCCTGGATATTTTGTGTTAGGGATTTGTTGTACTTGAGATTTTCTTTGGTCCATGAGTATATATCCTCCAGAGTCTTCAACACCTGAGATTCTCTCTTCCATCTCTTGTATTCTATTGGTTATGCTTACATCAGAGGTTCCTGATCATTTACCCAGCTTTTCTATTTCCAGCATCCCCTCCTTCTGTCTTTTCCTTATTGTTTCTAATTCTGCTTTTCAACTCTGAACTGTTTGAATTGTTTCCTTTACTTGTTTGGTTGTTTTTTCTTGGCTTTCTCTAGATTCTTTAAGAGATTTGTTTATTTCTTGATATTTTTGGTTTTCTTTTCCTCCATTTCATGTAATTTTTGCTTGTTTTTTTCTTCTATTTCTTTTAGGGATTTTCTTGTTTCCTTTTTAATGGTCTCTATCAGATAATTTTTACGATCTGTCTCTTCTTCATCCTCTGCATTGCGCTTTTCAGATTTTTCTGGTGTGGAGTCCCTAGATTCTGGTGGTGTCATATTGGTCTTTCTGTTGTTGAGTATGCTCTTATTCTGTCATCTTCCCATCCCTTCTTCCAGTGGGTGCAGGTGGGGTCTTTCCCTCTCTCAAGCGGCTGGTAAAGGGCAGAGAGCAGAGGGGGAACCAGGAGTGAGGTGTGTCTGGAATCAGGGTGGGCCTTCTGGTTTGGGCAGGTCCAGTCTTGTCCAGGGAGGCTCAGGAAGAATCAAGTAGGGGATAATGGGGGAGGTTGGGGGCAGAGCAGCACCCAGACTCACCTCAGGTGACAGGCAAATGGCAGAAAGTGAATCCTAAACTCTTACTCTTTCTTAGTATCCACTAGGAAAGAACCTATCTACCTGAGATAATTATAATTTAACAGTCTAAAACCTATTACAAATTTGAACCACATTGCTCAAAGTATATGAATTTCATACTCCTTCACAGAAGCAATAAGGTTGAAGGTAAAACTGTACAGATGAAAGACAATAGAATTCAGATCTGTGACACAGAGTCCTAGACCTGAAATTCTCCTCCCTAGAGACTATCTTTTATGGTACCAGAGGTACCACTGAAACTTCTAAGGGAAAAAAGCAGGCAATAGGTCCACCTAGCTATAATGCTGTGAAGTAAATGACCAACATCAGTGCAATTGTGGCATGAATATCATAGTGGAATAAAACCACACTCTAAATGGATTCAGGAGGCAGTAAACAAGAGGCAAATCATGCCTCATAATGTAAACCTACATAACTGTGGCCAGCAAGTTCATGGATTTGGAGGAGAAATTGAAATCTCAATTTTCCTAAAGTAGCATGATTTTTTTTAAAATTTATTTTTATTTGTTTTGGTTTTCGAGACAGAGTTTCTCTGTGTAGCTTTGGTACCTATCATGACACTCACTCTCTAGACCATGCTGGCCTTGAACTCACAGAGATCCACCCTCCTCTTCCTCCTGAGTGCTGGGATTAAAGGCATGGGCCAAAAAAATGCCCAGCTAAGTAGTATGATTTTTATCTGCATGTTCTAAAAACAAAAGTGTAGCTATTATCCCTCATCAAGAAACTTCTCTTTCAACACAGGGAAATCATTTCAGAAAACCACAACCAACCAAATTCAAAAAACAATTGATTGTGCCAGATCCAGCATCCCCTGATATACACATTCCTTCCTGCATAGAAGTTCCTTAGACATGAAGGAAAACAACTCAAAATAGCTCTAGGAAACTCCTGAAACTGATCAGATTGACTATGCTTCATGAAGGAAAACAACTCAAAATAGCTCTAGGAAACTCCTGAAACTGATCAGTTTCTCTATGCTTCCCCCTGCCACAGTAAACAATAAAATTGAGAGTCTACTACCCAAGGTCCCAAAGATTGCTGAGGCCACCTCATGGACACCCATGTTCAGGGGGTCTGGATCAGTCCCATGATAGTTTCCCAGCTACCTGTCTGGGGTCCCTGAGTTCCTCCTTGTTCAGGTCAGCTGTTTCTGTGGGTTTTACCAACCTGATCTTGATCCCATTGCTCATCACTCCTCCCTCTCAGGAACTGGGAACCCAGTTTTAGTATTTCATTTTGAAAGACCCCGAAGGGATACTTTCGTAGAGGGAGACCCACACACCCAGGAACCAGCGAGGCCACGAACTGGATGTAAAAAACAAGAGGCTTTATTGGAGACGCGGGTACCCGGGGCGACTTAGCTTTTCTGAGGCCAAGCGCGCCGAGCCAAGGGAAAGGCGTCCTTATATAGGGAAAAAGGCGCAAGCTAGGAGCAGGGATTCTATTTGATGGTTCAAATGAGGCACAGAGCCATTCCAGATCAGCATATTCTCAAGGTCTGGTGTCTGGTACAACAGACTTGATTCCTCCCTCCGCGCCCACAGGTGGCTGACCTTGGGGGCGGAGACCTTGGGACGGAG